TGTCCGTGGCTGCCCTTGCGGTACATTCCGTCACAAAGTCCGCTAGGGCTTGGCCCTTGATGGCAGGCCTTGGACGGATGTCAATGTTGTACTGGCTCAAGAAGATAGCCCATTTAACCATGCGGGAGGAGCTGGTGGGGCTCCTCATGAGGGCGCCGAGGGGTTGATGAGTGAGGACCTGAACTGGGTGAGCCTGAAAATAGTGGCCCAACTCTTTGACAGTCCAAACGATGGCCAACACCGTTTTTTCCACAGGGGAGTACCTGAGCTCGGCCTCCCTTAGGGTCTTGCTAACGTAGAAGATGGCATGTTGGATGCCGTCTTCCTCCCGGATGAGCACAGAGCTGATGGCCGCCGGGCTGACCCCAAGGTAGAGGTAGAGGGTCTCCCCTACCTTGGGTTTGGAGAGCACATGAGGTGAAGATAGATATCTTTTGAGCTCGTCGAAAGCCCCCTGGCATTCCGGAGTCCATAGAAAGCCAGCCGTCTTCCTCATGATCTGGAAGAAGGGTAGAGACTTCTCCGCCGATTTAGATAGAAAACGGTTGAGGGCCGCCATGCGGCCCGTCAACCGTTGAACTTCCTTTACATTGCGTGGGGGCTCCATATTGATGATGGCCTGGATCTTCTCGGGGTTGGCCTCAATACCCCTTCGGCTCACCATGTAGCCTAAGAATTTGCCCCCTTGGACGCCGAAGGTGCACTTCTTCGGGTTCAGCCGAAGGTTGAATTTTTGCATGATTGCTTGCTCTTGACGATCATGTCGTCGACATAGGCCTCCATGGTGCACCCTAGGACGGCTTGAAAGACCCGGGCCACCATCCGGGTGTAGGTGGCCCCCGAGTTCTTTAGGCCGAAGGCCATCACTAGGTAGCAGAAGATGCCCTCGGGAGTCATGAAGGCAGTTTTTTCGGCGTCCTCCTCGTGCATGAATATTTGATGGTACCCTCGGAAGGCATCGAGGAAGGACATGATTTCACACCCTGCGGTCTCATCCACCAATTGATCAATGTTTGGTAGAGGGAATGGATCCATAGGGCATGCTTTGTTGAGATCAGTGTAGTCCACGCACATGCGGAAGGTAGGGGGCTTCTGTGCGAGTACTACATTCGCCAGCCATGAGGGGTATTTCACCTCCTTGATGTGCTTGATTGAGAGGAGCATGGCGACCTCCTTCTTCACGAATTCCCTCCTCTCGGCGGAGAGGGGTCTCCTTCGCTGCTGTACTGCTTTTGCCGAAGGGTCCACCGAGAGGCGGTGGGTGATGACCCTTCGGCTGATTCCCGGCATGTCCTCCGGCCCCCATGCAAAGACAGTGGAGTAGGCGCGGAGGGCGTCGGTGATACCGGTCTTCAAATCTTCAGGGAGCTGGGCTCCAATCTTCACGGCTCTCTCCGGCTGGGCCGGATCGAGCGCAAAGTCTTCTACGTCCTCGGCCGGTTCAGCCCTCGGCCTTCTTTCCTCTTCGTCGACGGCTCCGGTGATGGTGTCAACACGGAATTCCGTCTTGCTTACCTTCTTAGTGACCTGAAGATAGCAGGCGCGGGCAATTTTTTGATTCCCCCGGGAGTAGCCAATGCCCCCTTCGGCGGGAAACTTGAGGCAGAGATGCCTCATGGAGATGATGGCTTCGAGGTCCTCGAGGGCTGGCCGGCCGAGGATGATGTTGTGAGCGCAGGCAATGTTGACGACGACGAACTCCACTTCGAGTTGGGCTCTATGGATCCCGTCGCCGAAGATCACCGGGAGGGTTATTACCCCCTCGGAATTAATAGTATCGCCGGTGAAGCCGGCAAGAGGGGTCTTAATTGGCCGAAGGGACCCCCTCTCCAGATGCAGCTCTCTGAAGGTGCTGAGGTACATTACATTGACGGAGCTGCCCGTGTCAATGTAAGTTCGGTGAATAATGGTGTCGTTTATCTCCGTCCGAATCACCAAGGCATCCCTGTGAGGAGAAGAAGTAGGAGGGAGATCTGCGTTGGTAAAGGTGATGGGTTCCTCCCTCAATCGCTTTACCGGGGGCATATGAGTGACTTCCCCCACGTAAAGTGATTGAGCCCACTTCTTTCGTTGGCTGGTGGAATCGCCCCCTGTATTGCCACCGGTGATCATGAGGATGTGGCGTTTCTTCTCCTGGTAGTGGGGGTACTCCTCCTCCTCTTCTTCCAAGTTTCCGATCTCCCTCTTCTTGCCGAGGGGGATGGTATTCGGGTTTACCCAAGCGTTCACCTTCGTATGGTGCCCTCGGGGAGGTCCCTGATGAGAAGGTCCCTCCTGCCGAGGGCTCTGGATAAACTGGGACAGGTGCCCTGCCTGTATTAATCTCTCGATGGCTGTCTTCAGTTGATGGCAGTCATCGGTCCTGTGCCCCTGGTGTCGATGGAAGCGACAGTAGGGGAACTGAGGGTTGATAGCGTGTACCTCCGGGGGTGCGCGAGAATCACGCTCAACGAGGCCCCTCTCCTCTGCAAAATCGAGGATGATGCTGACGGGGTGCGTCAATGGGGTCCGAGCGCGGTCCAGGAGAATGGGCTAGGCCCAAGTCTTAGGGTTGCTCCTATAACCTCCCCCGGGCTTGGCTTGGCCTTGCCGAGGGCGGTCATCAGAGGGTCCCGAAGCCTTGGGGCGATTTGGAGGTGCCCCCGGCCCTCGGTTGTGCTTGTTGTCAGCCCTCGGGGGCTGCTGGTCCGGATGCTGGTGATACTTCTCCACCTCCTCGGCCTCAGCATATCGGTCCCCCCGCTGCAAGGCCCTTATGTAGTCGCGAGGGGGTTCAATGATGAGGCTCCTCGAAAAGTTGCCGGTGCGGAGGACGGTTTGTAGGAGGGCCAGGAGGGTCCCGTCATCAGCACCGTCGACCTTGTCGGCCTCCGTCCTCCAACGCTCCAGGAAATCCCGAAGGGTCTCATCCTTCTTCTGGCGTATTGTTAGGAGGTGGGAGAAGTGCTTCCTTGTGCGACGCCTCCTGGCAAATTGTGTCAAGAACCGCTGGGCGAGTTCTTGCCATGAATCAATACATCCCTCGGGCAGCCTGTTGAACCATTCGTATGCTGGTCCCTCTAAGGTGGAGAGGAACCAACGACACAAATATTCGTCTGACGCCCCCACCATCATCATGCTGTTCTGGTACTTGCTGTAATGTTCCTGGGGGTCCGTTTTCCCGCTGTAGGGCTGTATGTGTTGCCCTCGGTATTTCTCCGGGATCCGGGCCGCCAATACCCTTGGGGTAAATGGCGTCCGAGTCCGGAGCTGGATGACGGGTTCCCCGGAGCCCTCGGCCACCTTCTTCTGTAACTCCTCCATCTTGGCCATCATGGCCTCGTATTTGAGATCTGAGTGAGGGGTGGAGGTGGTGGCGTGAGCTTTGTTGGACTCCATTTCGTCAAGCCGGCGCTGGAGGGCCGCAATAATCTCGTCCCGGGGGTCCCTTGGGAGGGTTTCCGCCCCCTGCGAACGAACCCGGGCCGAGTGGGCCTGGTTGATCTGGTGCCGAGCATCATCGGCATGAAGGGGTGCCTTGCCTTTGTCCCGAGGGGGACGCTCCTCGTCTGCCCTCGAAACAGAGCCCCCGCTTTCCTGGGGCCTTTGGAGTGCTTTCCCCCCGAGGCGGTCTTGGACCCCTCGGCGGTCTGGCCCTCCTCCGAGCCGGTTGAGGGCGGAAGTACGGGGCCTCTCCCTGTTGTCATTATGGCGGTCCCGGGACTGAACTTCCTGGGAGGATGTTTCTTGGGCCACCACCCCTTCGTCGTTTCTCACCCGAGGGATGGGATTTCCGAAGGGGTGTGGCAGAGGGGGAAGTATGATATTTTTCCCGATCTGAGGGTGAGCTGGAGCCAGGGTGCCGAAGGCACCCGGGTTCTGGGTGAGCGTTTGGATGAAGGCGGAGAGCGCCGATTGTACGTCGATGGTGAGAACCGGAGGGCTGACTTGGTCATCGCTCCGGTTTTTCTTCTTGGCCTCGATGCCGAGGCGGGCATCGGGGGCGTTTTGTTGGATCTGAAGGCGTAGGTCGACAGCCGCCTGTTCCAGCCCAGTGAGGACACCGCCCTCGGGAGCCCTGTGAGAGGCTTCGGGGGCGTTGACGTCGCCGAGGGCCAGGTTCTTGTCTTCCACGTTCTTTGAGTTGGCACGTGTTGTCCTCACCATTTTGATAGAGGGCTAGTGTTTGTGTTTGGTCGAGGGGGAGGGTTTCTTACTCGATTGTTCAGCTCTCAACGAGAGCACCAAATGATGGATAGTCTACCCGGGGGTATATATCCGAAGGGTTATTACGGGGAATAATTTAGAGAGAAGTCAGAGCAGGTAAACGTAGAGAGAGAGAGTGTATTATAAATGTGGAGTGTTTCCAGCGTGGTTACAAATGGGGAAATGGGGGGCTATTTATAGTAGCAATAAATGCCGGGCAGGGACACGTGTCAAGCGCTCATTGGCCGAGGGGTCGCCTCAACTGGTTGGCGCTGGCAGCCGCATGTGGCCGCATTTAATGCGGCTGTTGGATGGGACGTCTGTGCAGAGTACGGTGATCTGTACGCATGTGAGGCGGATATCTTGTCGAGTGAGATGCTTTCGGCCATAGAGCAGTAGCCGAAAGCTCCCCCAACCGAGGGCTCACAGTACCGAGGGCTACTGTTTTCGCCATTTTCTCCCAGTTCCTTAGTTTGCTTGAGAAACCCGTTCTGTGAGAGTTTTAGACCCTTCGGCCAGGGGGCCGAAGGCACCCCTGGCGCGTAGTGCGGGCTGCTTGGTACTCTGGGCGCTGTGATTTGGGCCTGTTAGGCCTTCGATGGAGTAGTAGGAGTCCGTGGGCCGGGGGTTCCTGGGCCATATACTCCATCACTACTCTTTTAAACTATTTCTGAGTGTTTGGGGAAAAAAGTAAAAGTATTTCTAAATGGCTTAAAATTGATCTGAGAAACTAATTCTGATTTTGTTTCGGTTTTTAAAAAAGAAAGATAAGCGGAATTAATTCAAAACACAACTATAATATTATGAGGACATACATTAGCAGGGTGGGTCGAGTGCCAGTGTACCAAAGCCATTCACCTGAATCACACTCCATCCAGGAGCAGCAGCAGCAGCATTCTTGTTGGCAGCACCAATCCTCCTAACCTTCACCAAGTCATCCCAACGCTCTCTATCCGCGTACACACTTGCCATTACAGAGGAAGCCCCTCCATCTTTCGGTTCAATCTCCGCTATCCGCCTGGCTGCCTTCTCCGCAAGCTTAAGGTTCCCATGCGTCCGGCACCCTCCCAGCAGACCACCCCAAACAAACACGTCACCCTTCATGGGCATCGTCTCTATCATCTCCACGGCTTCTCTGATCAAACCCGCACGCCCAAACAAGTCCGCCATGCAACCGTAGTGTTTCAACTCTCGTGGGACCCCATACACGCTCTCCATCTCTCCAAAAAGGATCCTTGCTACGTCTACCAGGCCCGTATGGCTGCACCCGACCAATACGCCAAGAAAGGTCACCCCGTCTGGTGGGGTGCCTGAGTCCAGCATCCGTGAAAAGTGATCCAACAACAACTTTCCATCACCGTGAATAGCTAACCCAAAGAGCATGGCATTCCATGTAAAGATGTTCTTCTCACAACATGTCTGGAAAATCTCCATAGCCGTCTCAATGGAGCCGCATTTGGCATACATGTCGACCAGGCCAGTAGCTAAGTAGGCATCACCTATGGAAGCCCCATTTGTTTGCCTAATGTGATCGTGCACGGCCTTTCCTTTCTCTAGATCCCCTAGCTGTGAGCAAGCGGACAGCACCGAAACCAACGATTTATTACAAGGTTGAACATCGGAGACTAACATTTCATCGAATAGACTAATGGCTTCCCTGCAATTGCCCGTTCTAGCATACCCTGCGATAAGGGCACCCCAGGAAAACGAGTCCCTCACACTCATTTTATCGAACACTTCCCTCCCCTTAACTATCTCGCAAGCTTTTACAAACCCGTCAATCATCACATTGTACGACACTACATCCCTGCGACAACTCCCATCAAACACCTTGCATGCATCCTCCACCCCACCGCTTAACGAATAAGTGTGAACAAGATTATTGACGACATACACATCCACCAAGAACCCGAGTCTCAGAGCTTGACAATGGAGGCCCCTCGAGAGGAAAATAGAACCAAACAGAGCACAAGCCTTGAGCACGAAAGGGAAAGTGTGCGAGTCAGGGGGGACGCCGGATCTCTGCATTTCAATGAAGAAAGTGATGGCAGTATGGGGAGAAGAAAGAAGGGTGTGGGATCGAATAACGGCGTTGTAACAGAACGAAGATGGCTTGCGGATGAGATCGAAAATGGCGGTGGCAAAGTGAAGATGGGCAGAAACCGTAGGGGTGGAAAGGGGACGTAGGAAGGAAGTGAAGGAATGGAGGAGTTGAGGAAGGAGAGGAGTTTCGTTGTGAGGACAGAGGCAACCTCTGGTGACGGCTTGAGCTTTGAGTTGGTGGATGTGAGCTACGCTTTTGCATTTTAGCCTGAGGATGGCGATCAGACGCCATGATTGCCTGCATATGATTAATCGTCTATTGCAATTATGGCGATGATGATGCAGAGTCACCATTTTTCTTGTCGTCCATTTTCCGAAGTCTTAGAATTTTGGAGTGCATACAAGTATTAATCGATCTCACTTTTCCTAATAATAATCGTCACGCATCCTTAAGTCACCATGTTAATGGGACGAAAGTAGTAAGAATTATGCACAAATATGAGTTGCAATTTTTCTTTATATTCTTTCCTTGACCTTTTAGTTTTAGGAAAATCAAAATCTAATTGTAATGGCTAATCTATAGATATATAATAACAAAAGAGTCTGGGATGGAATTTGGGCGGGAATACCGTAGCTAGCTTTTTGGGAAAATATTGAAGAAAGTTAGCTGTGGTAGCTCGAGCAATGTCATTTGTGATTCCAAGAAAACATTAATTTGCTCTAAAAAGCTGAAATATTAATTTGTCAGAATAATATTGAAGTGTCTTTTGCAATTTTCAAAAGTATACATTAATTAATGCGGAGCATATTGGACTTCGTGACTGCTCTTTGGCCTTTGCAATCACGATGTGAAACATTAGTTGTCACAATTGAATACGCATATATGGGCATATGGCTAATCAAACCAAATGGAGCACCAAGTATATAAAATGCTAGACCCACAAATGTTGAATGCCATTTGCTCCAGAACTAAGTTGATAATTTTTATTTTATGGCTTTCCTCTTTGAATGTTTGGCAGGTCGTGGCCTGGAATCTTGGCTCTAGGGGAACGGAACAGAAAGTTTTTGGTAATTTTGATCAAAGAAGATGATCGACGTCGCTGGTTTTCTTGGCCAGAGCTTCTGTGAAGGAGACCGGAAGCCGGCTGTAGGTTACATGAGGCGCCGTCATTCTGGCTTGAACCCTGTCTGTGAACCGTTGGCGATATCCCCGAGACACGACTGAGTATACCCTTGATGGGGGTCAAAATGGTCTTTTGCTATCATTGGATCCTTTTTCATTGTTTTGCTTTTGAGAATTTTGGCCTAAGGCCAACTTAAAAGACCACTTGGTTATTTTTTATGGAATAAACAGAGGTGAGGGCTAGGATATGTTTGTCTCATGGTGGGATATAGTGAATTTCAGGAAACCCATGCTATGTCTTTTAAGTTGTTATATTTAGTAAAACTAACATTGTTATGTTTCAGGAAACATCTACTTTCAAATGACGACAGGGAAAAATTTATTTTTGTTTAAGTTTTGTTGTCCAATAAATTGTTACGAATATTTTAGTAGCATTTCAGATAAAAATTGGTGAATTTCTAATTAAAAAAGAAAAATTGTTAGGAATAGTTTAGTAAAATTTGCTATATAGGTGAATATTTAATTGATCTCCAAAAAATTTAAAACTTATGCATATAAAAATAATATCTAAAAAAACTTATATTTTAAAATCAATGATTGTAATTTTATAAAAATATGGCTCAATTTTATTTTTAAATTTGTGATAACAATTTCATTTGATTGGCTTAATCTCATATGCTTACAAAAATTTAGTTCAATAGATAGTTTAAATAATTTATTAATATTTCAGATAAAAAAGGTGAACCGTTGCTTAAAAAAATAAGCATACATTTGCCTCATCTTCCAGTTAGAGATCGCCTTTGAGAGGAATCACAAATGGTAACTTTTAAAACTTGGGTATATATATATTTGTATTTATGTATAGAATTTAATTTGTGTTTCATTTTGCTTCATTTCATATAGAAAATATTCCAACAAGTTTTTAGTGTCACTAATCCTGCGCGTTTGAAAATAGCTATATGCGATGCATATGGAAAAAGTACCAATGTAACGACGAACGTTGTATTTAAGGAAGTGTTCTGAAATTTGTAAGACATTTTATTTTCAAATTTTATAAATATTTGTTTATATTTATATTGAGCTTTCTACTTCCATCATACTCTTATGTATTTACAAAAAGTTATGACATTTTTAAAATTGTGTCAATATTATTTTTTAACTTACATCATATATCTTTAAATATGATTATTTCCCGTGCATCGCACGGGTAGAATACTACTCCCTCCGGTTCTTATTTAAGTTCCTAGTTTGACTTCACACATATTAAGAAAATGAATTTGACTATACTGTGGAGTGCACTGTTTGGCACTGTTTGGACATTGTTTGGCACTGTGTGGCACTGTTTTGTTTCCTAAAATGGAAGTGTGAACTTAAATAAGGGACATCCCAAAAAGGAAAGTGAGAACTTTAATAAGAACCGGAGGGAGTAGTTGTTATTATGACATTAGTCTCCATAATTAGATACTACCTTGTATAGATTAGCACTATCGTTGCAGCTTATTATCCTTGTATAAATAAAGGGGTAATTTGAGTTTGCACCCCATTTTAATGTCCAAATTGGACTTTGCACCCCGTTTTTAAAATTCTTAGTTTTTGCACCCCAACCCCATATGAAAAGACAAAAATGTCGTCGATCAGGAATATGTTGAAGACCAACAAAATTTATAATGGAGGAGCAATTTTGTCTTTTCATTTGGGGTGGGGGTGCAAAAACAAAGTTTTTTAAAAACGGGGTGCAAAGTCCAATTTACACAATAAAATGGCGTGCAAACTCAAATTATCACATAAATAAATACTCCTTAATATGTAATACTATCCTCCATTCCATAAAAGTTACAACATTTTGACTTTCACGTTTGTCAACGCGCAACTTTGACTGTAATTATATTTATTTACGTATTAGTAAACATTAAAAAAAGTTAATATATTGGAAATTTACATTAATACAAATTTATTACTCCCTCCGTCCCGGTCATTTCCTCCAATTTTTCTTTTTGGGTCGTCCCAATTAATTCTTACAACTTTCACTTTTGGAAAAAATATGTGGTTCACACTCATTCACTTTTTTCTTACACAACTACAACCATACATTTTCACTTTATTCTCACTACCTAAATTTGCGATACCGGTCAAAACCGGAAGAAATGACCGGGACGGAGGGAGTAATATTTTATACATAATATTTTTATTATATATATTATTAGAAAATCGTAGTCAAAGTAAAGTGTGTAAATAGTGCAAAAATTCCAATGTTGCAACTTTTATGGAACGATAAACATAGCCTTCTGTTCTATTTTGTCTACATGGTATCAAACTGATATTTTCCTCTATTTTCACTTCTCCATGATCTGCTGTAAACAAAATTCCAGCAGTTTCAGCACCTCCATGGCGAACGATGATGATCTGGTCTCCACCCATGATGATGATGAGATTAATCCCAATAGTTCACTTCACTCTTCTGACGATCCCGGCGTCTCTCATCGGCCAGCCTCTTATGGGTTTCGAGAATTATTCTTCTTGGTCGGAGTTGGTCCATTGCCATGACAATGGCGCTTAAAGGTCGCAACAAATTTTGTTTTGTTTTGGTAATTTTAAATGTTTGTTAGTTCTTTCAATTTCGCCCAACTTTTTACATGATATTTGCACCAGATATTCTCATCTATTTTGAAGGAATGGTTTTAATATCTTTAATACAGTTTGTCATCATGTTAAGATTTCAGTGTGGATATTATCTGCAGACTTTTAATTTTTTTTAATTGTTATGTCCCGATGGGTTTTATGAATTAGGATAAAGATATAGCAAACTTCTTGCTTGTATTAGAATTCCTGTGATGCTTGTTACATTAGGTCCATATTTGATTATGGTAGAACCATGGAACCATAGCGAAGGAGATGGTATCTGTCAATCACGAATTAGTGTCGTTAGGACTTTATAACCTTCATATGAGAGAAACTAGAAACACATTACTTGACATATAAAGTGTTAATTATAAATATATTCTTCTTTTGGTTGGGACAGGATCAACTTAAATGTAGAAGAGGGGTACCTTAAATCTGTGATTCATATTTGTGTTGTTCCCTGCTAGCTTGAACAGCTAACATGAAACAAAGACTGCTCTTTTATGAGGTCAAATGTGTTTATTCCATTGAGAAAGAATAGAGTAACCTTATTGCTCTAGCTATTCAGTAAATTGTTTTTAGTAAAAGTTGTACCTTTATCTTACAGATCTAATGATAGTAAAAGTTATACCTTTACTCTTACAGCCCTAAGGATAGACTTATCTATGGGGTAAAAACAAAGATTAAAGGATTTTAGTGATTTTCAAAAGATACACGGTAGAAATGTCCCTTTATTTTTATTGTACTACCAGTGTACTTGTCAATTTAGGACATACTGGTCAATTCACCTTTTCCCATTTTGAATATCTTTGGTAACTATGTTGGTGTATTTACATTTTTTAGGGCTGATTGTTTTTAAGGTATTGATTATGTTCAAGCTTTGATTATGTTCAGCTTCATATTTCATGAAAATGATAAGTTGGTACTTCTGCAGATATGTGTACATTGATCCAAAAGAAATAGCGGCTGTAATAGTGGCATGTAATTACGTTGTTGAGCTGCACAGTTCAATCATAAAATGATGCCTGAAAATGATATTTTTACTATGGAAAGAAATGTTCAAACCTTACTTAAAACTATAGAGAGAAATTAGAAGATAAGCATATATATACTTGATTCAATTGAGAGAAGAGTAGAAGAATATCAAAAGTGGTAAATCTTAGCTAGCTAGAACGGAATAATGTTTTTGCTACTCCATCTCCATCTCTATACGACGTATACGTGAACTTCAACCTATGTCATTGGAAAATCAGATTATGGGTATGTTAAGTTTCTTTGTTGATTCCTAGAGAATGGGGAAAGAACGAGAGTAGCAAGTTTTTAGAAGTTTTAGTTGAGACATTTTAAGGTTGGAAAAGGAGTTGAAGAAAAGGGAGTAGTGTGTTAATATGTTAATAATAAACATATCCTTCTATTCTAATTTCTGCACACTAATTTAAGCTTTTTTGTCCCTGAGGGTGAACCACCAAACTCAGTGGATAAATATCCGAAAACATTTAATTTAATTTAGGAAAAATTGATTGTAATAATCTCAACTATTGGCGGTCCCCTCATAATAATTGTAACTATCGATTATTTCAGAATAATACCAACTTTAGGGACCTTCCGCCAATAATGATCCATGACCGCATATTGTTAGCGGACCGACAATAGTTGAAATGAAAAGATACAAACTGGGGGTACTAGACCTTACCTGGAAAATACATGATAAAAATAAGAGTGAAAACAAACCTTAACGAGAAGAAATAAAGAAACAAAATAATTGTAAACGGAACGGAATAGCCAGAGTATCTGAAGCATCCAAATGAAGTGTGAGTTCATCAAGGTTTCATACATTGAGTTACATGCTGGCATTTGGTAGCTGCAAAGGTTCAGCAACCAAAATGTAGAACATGCCCATGACTCCGGTGTGGCTCTGGCTACTGCTATAGTTAGATACAATGGTCAGCTTTTCGCCCTTTGCAATCTTTACGGAGCCGGGCTGAGGATAACATGTTGTCATTCCAATGTTGAGCCCAGCTTCATTCCCTGGTTCCTTGCCCTTTCCATAAATCGGAACCGACGAGCATAATGTCCGTCCATCCTATAATAAATGGAGATACGCATGCTTTAATGAAGAGAAACCTGATCAATCGTATGCACAGTGCCTAAGTTAGGGCAAGCTAAGCAAACAACTTTTTGGAGAGCTTATAGCTTCTTGGGGGCTGTTAGTTAGGGGTTTGACCAGCTGCGCAGGCTACTTATTGTTGTTTTGTTTGGTAATGCAATAATGAGACGATAGGAAAACAGCTAATACATGCAATAGCTAGGTTATCATCATCAGCTAGCGAATATATATATATATAGATAGATAGATAGTAGTATCAAACAAGTAGCATGCAAATATAATACCTCCCCATACAGAGCTGAACCAACCCCTCCTGTGTGCTGGTGGGCCACAGCGTAAATGAGATCTCCTCCGATGGGCAAACTTGAAATTGCAGTTCGGGTATGAATGCATAATTCATCATTGGCCACATCAGCAGAACAAGAGTCAACATTAAACTCAATCTGCATCAATAAGCTACAGAATGTTGGAAATAGCTAGGAAAGGAAGTGCCAAGGGAATTGAACATGAACTTATGTTTCGGTGTTAATTGGTTTTACCTTGCAGTTGTGGGCTTGGGAGGGTGGAGTAGTCATATTCCATGAATCGGTGACATCAAAAATATAAATTTTGAGGGGCAGAATGGAGGAATCCCAGTGAAGGTAGGTGACAGTGTACTGGAGATAGAGGCGCCTTCTTCCCTCAGCAGCAGCAGCAGCAACATCGGCATTCACCCTACATCTCGTCCCGTCATAGCAACAGCGCAGCCCCCCCACATAATCTTTCTCTAGCGCCTTCCCGTTCATGTCCACGCTCACATTGTACAGCTCACACCTGCACTCGGCGCACCCCAACCTATCCACCGCTCCCCGAGTATCAATCGCGTGCAAGTTAAGCACCCACGCCTCCTCGTACCCCTCCGGGATGTCTTCCGCCTTCCCGACTTCTATTCCGTACGGGTCTGGAACGTGGGTATCCGTTTTCCTTGTTTCGGATCCCAGCCCGAAATACTGGGGGAGGGTGCGGCAGAAGCCCGAGTTGTCGACAGAAATATGGCCGGATCGAGCATCATCGGCGCTGCCTTTGAGGCGGTAGTACCTCCCCACAAGCCAATGGTGGAGATAGGTTTCGTGAAGAGGGATGGAGTTTCCGGCTTCATCAACCACTTCTGCGTCGAATGCTTTCACTGCAATATGACCTTTGGGGAAGCCCAGATTATAGTAGTATTTGTTTACCACTGATCCGGGCTCTAGTTCAAACGCGGGTGACCGGAAAGTGGCAGTTTTCAACCTGTTGCTAGCTGCTGCTGCTGCTTGTTGTTGAGAAGAAAGTGGTGCGGCGGCGGCAGTTATTACCAGCAGCAGCAGCAGAGGATTACGAAGAAGAAGAAAAGTGGCGCGGCGTCGAGGCTCAGCTGTCTCCATGAGTTTCGCGTCTATCTGTGTGATCGCTCGCGCTAGCTGCTAGCTATGGCAGCACTAATTAATTTGGTGAACGATTAATAGATGGATGCAATCAATTTTTTAAATTTTAAAGCTGGTATACGACGCCTTTTTTAATCCCATTTCTTCCTTCATCCGTACTCCTACTCTTTTAAATCAATACTCCGTACGTTCTCGAAAATTTTAAAATACACGTAATCATAAATGCCGTTTAAAATTGACTGAATTTTGAGACCCGACCCGTTTTTGTCTTATTCCATCCTTATCATTTTATTCACTTGTAAAATATGCTACATATAACAAATGTCCAAAAAAGATTTTTTTGTAAGATTAAAACTAATCAGGTTAATTTTTAAATTTTAGAAACAAATATTATCAACACCAACATCCAAGTCTTAATCCTAACAGAGAAGATGATATCGATCAATGATATCGATGCCAAACAGAGAAGATGGACAAGAAAGGGAAGAAAAAAAAAGATAAAAACGAATAAAATAAAGATAAATAAAGATAACAATAAAACAAGAATATAACAAATATAAAAGATAAAAAAAGCATAAAAAAGCTAGAATATAAAAATAGCATAAGAATAAACAAAGGTAAGGAAGATAAACGATAAAAGAAAAAAGAGAGGAAAGGTAAAAAAAGACATCAGTCGTCCACACGGATGTGCACCCTCCACTTTGCTCTCTCCAAAGTCATACTCTCATCCAACCCAAAAAGACACATATCAGTTCTAATTCCTCTAATCCAAGTCTGTTTGGGTCTTCCACTCCCTCTCTTCTCTGCCTCTTCTCCTCACCCCTCAAGTCGTCTAACAAGTGCATCACTCGGTCTTCTACGCACATGTCCAAACCACCAGAAACGAGACTCCTGCATCTTATCTTCTATATGTGTTACTCCCACCTTTGGTCTGATTATTTCATTCCTCAAACGGTCTTTTCTTGTATGTTCGCACATCTAACGCAACATACGCATCTTTGGCACACTCATCTTTTGAATGTGTCATTGCTTCACCGCTCAACACTCCACGCCATACATTAATGCAGGCCTAATTGTTGTTCGATAAAACTTACCCTTCAGTCTAGTTGGCATACCTCGATCGCATAGAAATCCTAAAGCACTCTTCCATTTCATCCACCCAGCTTTGATTTTATGCCATACATCTCCATCTAATTCACCATCCTTCTGAATTATGAAACCCAAGTAACGAAACACATCACACACCAGTATTTCCTTACCATCAAGAGTAATCCCACTGTTGCTACTACTTCTACCTCCACCAAACTTGCACTCCATATACTCAATCTTGCTTCGGCTTAGTCTGAAACCCTTGTTCTCCAATGTCTGTCACCATACTTCCAACTTTTCTTTGACACCAGAATGTGTCTCATCAATCAATACAATATCGTCGGCAAACATCACGCACCACGGTATGTCTTCTTGAATTGATTTCGTAAGTTCATCTATGACTATAGCAAATAAGAGCAGATCCTTGGTGCACTCCGTTAGTAATAGGGAACTCTGCGGTCCTCCCTACACTAGTGCGGACACTTGTAGTACAAGCATCATACATATTCATGATGATACTAATATACTTACGTGATATGCCTTTTCTAGTTAAGGCCCACCACAGGACTTCTTGAGGTACTCTATCATATGTCTTTTCTAAGTCAATGAAAACCAAATGCAGATCCTTTTTAGTGTCTCTATACTTCTCCATAACTTGTCTAAGAAGGTGAATGACCTCAATTGTTGAGCGTCCAGGCATAAAATCAAATTGATTTTCCGAAATTTTCACACTCTTACGAAGTCTTTGCTCAACCACTCATTCCCAAAGTTTCATGGTGTGACTCATAAGCTTAATCCCTCGATAGTTAGCACATTCTTGTACAAAAATAGTATGTTGAAAAAAATATGAGAAAATTCCTTGGGACTAAAAGACTATTATTCACTCTTAGTATCAGAACATTTATACTTTTATATAATAGGATTAAATAAGTCATATTACGGAAATAAAACACATATAATCCTATTGATGCATTTTGTTTAAGTTTTAGTTTTATTGAAATTTCTGTAAAAATATTTCCAAATTATTCTTCCTCCATCCATAAATTGTTTAAGAGAAAAATGTCTAAACTAAGAATAAAACATAGCCTTCTTTCAAAAATAGGACACTATGATTCATTTTCTCTAAGAGCTCATTTGGTGACCATGTCTTTCGGTTTCTCAAATTTATAAGCTAACTTTTGCACCAAACACGTAACTTTTGATTTTGTGCACTAAATTGTGTAATAATAAGAAAAAAAATAAGACTGGAGCTACTTTTCTAGCTATAATAGTTGAAGTTACTGTAGAGCATCATTTTAGCTATTTTTTATATTTTTATCTTTATTTATTAATAAAAAATATTTTGAATATAATTTGTTTATAAATAAGCAGAATCAGCCAATCCAGCCATTTCACCCAGAACTTCATAAATTTTAGCAGGTAAACGAGCTCTAAATAAGACTAATCATTCAATTTCTACCTCTAATTTAATTAATTAATTAATCTAATTAATTGCTCAGTAGTTCCCTTGCATGAGTAAGGCGGTATGTTGGTGGCGGGGCAGTCCATGGTGGTAGTAGCCCACGGCGGCGGCGAATTTCTGGCAGCTCGATGGGGAACTACAAGAATATTTTCCGACAACAAGTGGTGATCCAACGTCACTGGGGCAACAATGCTAAAGCCCTATGAGGGTATATTTGTCTAATTACAAATAAAAAGTCATATTTAACGTATTTTAACTAGTAGGTCATATTTTTGGAAATGCAATTTATTCCTATTTGAGGACTTCTCACATTGTTTAATTAAGGAAATAGGCCATGCATAATTAAATGAAAAAATTGTCCAAACTAAGGCTAAAATATAGTCTTTTTTTAAAATAGGACCATATGTTTAGTTTTACCTAAATAGGACTAATTAATCAATTTCTACTCTTGTAACTGCCCCTATTTTCCTTGTATGTTCAAATAAGTTCGATGGTGGCAGCAACAAACTCTGGCAGTGGTAGTAGGGATGGACCGGCCCCGACCCGGGCCTGGGTCTGGTACAGGTCAGGGCAGGACTGGGTTTTAGGGATGAAGGCCAGGTACCGGCTCGGGTTGGTACCGGGACCAGACTGGGCCGTGCTACCCGCCCGCGTCTCGGGTTTGGCTGGGCCTGCCCATATATTTTTTTTAAAATCTAGTTTAAAATTAAATCAAGAAGTGCCAGACAATAAAAAGTTAAAGTATATTTATTTGAAATATGAAGTACAATTGAGAATTGAGAAAATTTTAAAATTTCACAAGTGATACAAAAAAAATTCAATGCATATATATTTAAATATAAAGTACAATTGATAATATAGCTAATAGCCTATTTTAAATAAGCGGAACAAAATACTTCGTGTCCCCTTAGCTCTTAATTTTGCATACTCCTCGGGGTGGTTTGCCTTTAAATGCCTATCCACGCCTCCGTATCTATGCGAAACTTCCAAGCAATTTTTTTGGTTACAATGGTTTCAAGTTGCCCACCACATCTTGCTTGTCGTTTTTGTAACACCCTCAAATTCATACCCAAAATAGATGCTAATTATAACAAGTATAGAAAGAATTTCCCAAAACATTTAATTCAAAAGAGTTGAAATTGCAGCAGAAGCATAATATTCAATGGGTGTTACCGCCACACTCGGTTCTCACATAACCGAATGCCAAGGCTAAACCACCATCCAAAAATAATCCAAGTATTTAAGTAATGAAAATTTCAAAAATAATTTAAATGTGTACATGTTCTCAAACTGAAATAAACAATAACTAGGTGATTATAAATACTAAACTACGTGATCTAACGCACCTCTCATCATCATGCATAACCTTCATCACCTGCACAATTAAAGTGTAGAAAACAAAACAAAGAGAAAACAACAAAAATTACCATTTTAGCTAAGTAAGGCCCACCCAACCCCGTAAAATAATATAGTTTGAGAAAATAGATTTGATACTTAATGTATAGGTTTCAAAAATCCATATACTTCCAAATATACATTTTTCAAGTTTAAAATCACATTCACCATTCAAAACAACCTTTGAGATTCCACAACGTAGTTTATAAATACTTATTCATATAGATTTCATATTCCACTAAATACTTATCCACAATTACTTCTCAAAAACCATTTACTCTTCAATCCAAAAATATTATCCAAACTACACGAATACCGGGGTTGTCTACCGGTCCTATCATTATGACACGTTGTTCATAGATTACTCCGGATCCACTCCAAAGATCGTTATGAACTTGTAGTTCATAGTTTACTCAAAATTTCATTATGAACATATAGTTCATAGATTACTCCACCTATCTTTATGAACTCATGGTTCATAGATTACTCCACCTATCATTATGAACTTTTGGTTCATAGATTACTCCACCTATCATTATGAACTCATGGTTCATAGATTACTCCACCGATCATTATGAACTTCCGGTTCATAGATTACTCCACTTATCATTATGAACACATGGTTCATAGATTACTCCACCTATCATTATGAACATGTAGTTCATAGATTGCACAAATATCATTTAGATTCAAAACACTTTCTCAAAATATCCTTTTCAGATTCATATCTCAAAATATCCTTTTCAGATTCATATCTCAAAATAATATGCCAAGTATCTCCAATTCAAGGTCAAAGTTCACAAATTAGGGTTTACCAAAACTAGTTCCAAAATAATGTTTAATCTCATGTTAAAAATAATCCAATAAGGATATTTATAACACCAGAATATATATGTAAATTTTCATACCAAATTATACATATAAAAATATATAATTTGTCCCAAAAGATTTGATCTCACAACACTTTCCAAAAAGAAGGTTTAACCCAAACCACCACTTCCCAAAAGTAGCATTTACTACCACCACCAAAATAATCTAATTGGGGTATTCTAAACCCATAATATATTTTCAATATAACCAATTGTAATAGTCTCAAATCATACTTCAACTCATACCAAAACAATCACCAAAATTTTCCAATCCCAAAAGAACAATCCTCAAAAATCACAATTTTAGCCCTAACAAACTGATTTGATAAATTCACCATAAATCACACGTTCATAAATTCCCAGAA